CTTTGGTTTCTCGATAATACATTAGTTTAGTATTTACCATAATATTCTGCGATAACATATTGTGGTATCAGAGCGTTTGCAAAATGTAAATTTTGAACTAACCAAATATCAGCCCCCTATTGATTTTACAACCAAGTCATAAGTAGGTTTTTAAAGGTCAGCGTATGCTCAATACACACGCCAATTTTCCGTCGGTTTTTTACTACTTTCAATTTAAGAAAAAACTGCATTTATTTTTAAATTAAAACTAAACAGGTAGGTAACAATGCAAACCAGGCAAATGTCAACATACCTTGAGTTGTCAACCTATAATTGAAAATTTGTAAGTTGTGCTGTTTATGCTACCATGTTATAATACATGTTATAAAAAAAAATAAAAAAATTTTGTAATTTAAAAACTTGTTCGAATTAGGCAAAATGCTAAATGTTTTTGAAAATGTAATTTGACACTGACAAAATTCTAAGTTGAGAACTAAAGGTGTGTTTGCATTTACCTGGTTTTGCATTGTTACCTGTTGAGTTTTTAATTTATAGATTTAGGTAGCAGTTTTCTTAAATTAGTTAAAAAGCGGTTTGTCAAAATTGTTCCAAATTTGGCATGTGTATTTAGCATAGGCCCAGATGATCTTTAAAAACACTACGACTTAGATGTAAAATCAACAAAGAGCCAATATTTGGACAATTCAAATTTGCATGGGACTTCCTGTTTCCAACTTGCCCGATCCACAACCCGGTATAATGCTCAAACATATTAATTAAAAAAAAAAAACTATTGTTAAATACAATTGACCAAACCAATTTGATTTCATAAACAAACTAGAAATTTAAAAGTTCAGTAGACTGTTTATCTTTTAAACCATATACCATTCCTGAGAGTATTCTGTAGGTATATTCTGTTCCATTTTTCTGTATTGTGTAGTTGTTTAGGTTAATATAAGTAGGTGGAATAAATAGTAGTAATTATTTTCTTTTACAGATATTACCTACCTTTTCATAATTTCAAACTATATTATATTGTATGATTAACACCTAATTAAACACAGATTTAAATAATAAACAAATTTTAGGTACTTACTGATTGATATTGTCCGTAACTCATTTTGTCACTTTAAAAAAGGTAATTTATTATTATTAAATTGCCTTTGTTTTTATTTAACACAAGGATAAACACGTACCAATTTTCAGGCACCGTTAACTTGACTATTTTCAGTATTTTCTACCTTAAAATCACTTAAAATTTTAAAAACGAAACCAACTTCCTCAACACGTCAGACTTTCACCGAAGAAATGAGGTTATGATGGGTTTTGGGTTATGAAAAATTCGCAAATAGTGTAACAGAGCGCAACACAAATAAAAATAGATCGTATGAAAACTTTACATATTTTTTTAAATTTGTTCAAGACCTATTTTTAGTTGATAATTGATAAAAAATGTTATGCTTATATTCAAATAATTCAAACCGTCCCTTATAAATCAATTTAAAATTTTAATCATAGAGATTTAAATGTATAACGTAACAAAATAAGTGACAATTATTTATATTTGGTTAAGCTCTATGTGGTATAGATTTTTTTCTCATTACGTGATCATTAGTCTGAATTTCGTTTCATTGATAATACAAGGTTTCGACGTCATTGTTGTTCTTTTTGGAATTTTGATGTTTTGCATTAGTCATATCTAGTTATACCAGTACTATTTTCCTCGAATACATTTTAAAATAGCCTTGATAATAATAAAAAAAATGAATAAGTACTATACAAAGAAATGATAGAAATACCTCACTATACCTACGTAGAGAAAAATGTTTCTCATCCTTTGATGAATTTTCAATCTAAAGAAAAAGGCATTTTTCAATTTCCATTTTCAATTCATTTTCAACAAATTAGACACAGTGGCTGAAGAACATAGGACTATTTAAGGATTATATTTCTCATATTACATTATGATATAGATACATATTGCCCATAATAAATAATAGTCCATATTATTTAGTACCTTTTGTCAGAGAATATACAGGGTGTTTCAAAAACATGTGCTATCTCTCGTGGGGAGATTCCTCACGTAAAAACAGGACCCAACCGTTCTTTATTTCAGAGGACAGTCCTTTTTCATCGTACTCTTTTCTCTCACCTATTGAAAAAGTCCTCTCATTTTTACACAATAAAAGCAAAATTTAAAAAATAGGTATAAGTTTATCGCCGCAATGATTAATAAAATTTTTAATCTGACAAGAATATGTCTTCTGTCTTCCGCTATACTCCCACTTGTTCATACAGAAAAGAAATATTTACGTACAAGAAATACCGTATGATAAAAAAAACGGCGTCGGCGATGGCTATGAAATGAAGATCGCAGTCATTTTATATGTAAAATTAAATGGAGAATATCATTAATGTTCATTTCCAAGCCATCTGGACGCCGTTTTTTTTTCGATCATATTAATGGTACCTATTTGTTGTGGATGCGATAAATATATGTTTAGCTTTTTTATGTTTACTTATTGTTAGCTTATGTTTTGAAATATAAAGTTTTGTAGAAAATGGTATGTTTTATTTTACAAAATTTTGAGTATAAATATTTTTAAGAAAGACCACCATCCGCATAACGTTTACATATTTTTTAGGGACCTATATTCTTTAAAAAAATTGGGCAAGGTTTAACTTGTTTTCGCCTTGTGGCGTTTTTTACTCTCTCGTTTGGTTATGGTTAGGCTCTATTTTTCATTTTAAAAGTTGGCAACCCTACGAGATCTACACTGCCGCATATCTGAGTGTATTTTCAAAACATTTATTTAGTTTGTTAAGCGTTTACATCTTCATTAATTTTTCTCTGATTTTCTCTGAAGTTTATCAATTACTTCATTTCCTGTTACTGTAATTAGTAAACCTACAAAACATAATTATTACAAGTACAGTAGTTGTCACATTATTACGTTCTGAAGCGTTTTCTAGCTCTTCTGTAATTTTCACTTAAATTACTCAATTAGTAAAATGACGCTTGTCATGTTTTTCCCCTGAACCATTCATTTTATATCAACAATACAATGGTCCGATTCTGCTTTGTTTCGTAGCTAACAGAAGATAATTTTTTTACCGTACCTAACCTAACAGAAGATAATTTTTTTTGATTTATTATAATTTCTTCCCAAATGCCTTTAACGATGCGAATGTAAGTTTGGAGGTAAAAGTTACTTAATTATTATTACAAACAAAAATAATAATAATATAGTATTTATTAATCATATTACATTTATTGATTATCACTTTCCCCTATAAGCCTAAGTAAACACTTTTGGTAATCTCCAGAAGTATCGCCCTGAAAAATACAAAATTGTTAATGACTTGTTAAAAATGTAACAGTAAAAATAGGTAACTATATTTAACAATCAAAAAAGTGTAACGATAAAAATAGATTTAAAACTAAACTCCTTAATACTTTAATGAACTGAAAAATAGACATTGACATTACCATTTTTACGTTATTTTATTTATGTATCTTTGTGGATATTAAAAAATGGCAAATAACTTAAAACACAATCCGAAGTTTATATTTTAGAAATCTATAAACACTGTGACATTCAGGGTTTGTAATTTTGACATTGTTTCAAAATAACTATGGGCCTTACTTTAATTGCATCAGCCAATGTTTCACCATATTGGATCTCATATATCTTTTTAATTTCCTTCATGTCTACTTCGCATCTACTAACAACTAATCGAATGAGAGTCCTGTCTTTGGTACCAAAAAATCCTTTCACACATTTCCTAAACAATCTAGCGAAAAAGGAGGCTTGGTTTTTGATAGACCTAGTGACTGCAAACTCATTTTTAATCACTTTTCCTATATCGTAACCTAAAAATAAAAGAAACCTGTTAAATTTGATAATCTTATTTTTTATAATTTTTACCAGTCATTTTCTCGTATTCCTTGAATATTAACTGAAGTTGCTTCCAATTTCTTTGATACAAAATATTGTTCAAAGCGGTTTGATCAACGCCCAAATTCAGTACTCCAATCTTTGCTAGAGCTTCAGCATCATTTCTGGCTTCAGTTATGTCCGTTATGTTATCATCATCTCGGCAGACATTGCAGAGAGATACCATCAGTCTTTGAGCAGTGTTGGATGTACGGGCAACCAAATCGTTTTCTAAGCTGTTTTTGTATACTATTAAAAAATGTGTATTCAATATCAATTAAACTTTTAGATACGTAATCGAGGGCGCGATTTTTTAAATTCATTGTTGCCAACCATGGCAACATATTCGTCGCCGGGCTGACTAACTGAATTTAAATATCCCGCTGGGGATTCAGGTGGTAGCTCTGCTGTAAAAATGTCAAGTTGCTACATTCATTTATTTATTTCCTGACATTGTCATTTGTTTTGACACTTTAGTTTTGTATGAATTTGGTTTAAATGAATTGTGTTTTGGTTTGGTTTGGTGATATTTTAAACTTAAAATTTTTTATTAGCAGACCTTGCAGTCGAACATTATTCTTGTTAGAACATCTTTTAGTGCGAAGTGTACAAGATAGCTTAATAGCTATAAAAAAACTCATCTCAACTTTATTAGAATATTTTGAACGGAAAAGCGGTAGTGATAGTCCTCGTCCTTTATGTCGGTTAAGTGCTTTTAAGGAGGTAAGTTTTGTTGATGTAAATGATAACTGTTTATATATTTACAATTAATTTTATTTTTGTTTCCTAAACTATTTTGATTAAAAAAATATGTAAAAGTGAACAACGCTGTGCCGGTCAAGCTTAATCACGCCACTAAAAGTTTATTTGGTATGAACTATATACAGTGGTGACGCTAGAACTTTTTTTTGGGGGGGAGAGGAGAAGCAATTTTCCCAACTTCCTACTTCTTGTATGTATCGTATTAGGAATAAAAACCCTTGTTTTAAAAAAATTGTTTTATTAATTTAAAATTTAAATAATTTAAATTTAACATTATTGAACATTATAACATGCATAAATAATTATTGTTATGACAACTCTAAAATTAAAATAAAATCGTACCATCCTTAATATTTTATTTAATAACTAGCGTGTACCAGCGACTTCGTTCGCGTCGAATTAATCATTTGGAATGGTGATGATAAAGCAAAGCATGAATTTCCGTTAACATACAAACTGGATAAAATTTTCTTACATTTATGTCAGCATGAGAAAAAACAATATGGCGATATTATTATATAACTTGGTAATATTTGAGAGGTAGTTTCATCTCGTTGGAATTTGACTTTCGAAAAATCCGTTTGCAAAAAATAAGGCAAGCGCTTTAAGCAGGATCGTGATTAATCAATGACCAGATTTTTCAAAACACTCTGTATACATTTTTAAAAAATCTTAAAATATGTAAAAAACCAAAATAAAATATACGTGTTTAAGCGTTTTTTCGGAAACTTGACCGTTTTTTAAATAAAAAATATTGTAATATTTATGCTTAATATGGTTTCACCCCCTTGGAACTGGAATTTCGAAAAATCCCTTCTTATCGAATCTCTACACCCTAGAATCAACCTGTATGCCAGAATTGAGCTTCTTATGTTGAGTGGTTTGAGCAGGTTCGTGATTAATCAGTATGTCAGTCACTTAAGGATTTTATATATTAGTATAGATTAGTATAGACTAGTCGTCTGATCTTCAAAGTGGCCCAAGTTGTTAATATTTTTGGTAAATCTAAGTTGATGGCAATATCCGCTTCACATTAGTGTAGCGGCAATTTTTTTTTTATTTTTGGCAAATTTGGGATTTAGACGTCGCGCGTCGCGTTGTCATGACTAATTTCCCAACTCAATTATACATTGGGGGGAGCATCCCCCCCATCACGTTTTACTACCCCAATTGTTAGTAGTATTACTAAGCCAGAATATATATATGCTTTCCAATACTAGTTCTTCCTTCTAATTTGATTAGGTATAAAAATAAGATACGACAAATATTATTGGTGTTGAGTTTGGAAACAGCAGTTGATATTTTTACGGCTATCCAACAAGTCAGGGAAGATTTCGTCAGACGATATCCAAAAATAACTTAACTTTAAATTACAATAGCAGAAAACAACTATCACAATCATATATTTTCTCTGCGAATAGAGCTAGTTAATTTTGTAGACAACCTATTTAGATATCTAGAATATTATTTTAATAATAGGTATTATATAGGCATTTATGACATCAGTAGTTGGTATTAATCAAGTACTAATTTTGATCAAAAAAATGTTTTTAACCATTGTTATAATACCATACAATTGAAAAACGGCGGCAAAGACGGCTGGGGAATGACAATAGATGACAATTTTGGCGAGGTCAAGCCCTTGACGTCATTTTCTTGGCCAGCACTTTTCATTATTTTTAATGACGATCATTACCAGTTTGTCTTAAGCAGATTGTAATTTATCTTTATATTGAGTATTCCAGAAAAATATTTTTTTTGTCTGGAAACGTTCTACCCCTTTTTTTAATTTTTCTATAATTAGTGTTATTTTTGACAAGTTTTATGTCAATTTTTTAGTAAATGACGTTTACAGATTGACCTCTCCAACATTATCATCGATTGTCATTCTCTAGCTCTCTTTGGCGCCGTTTTTTTTGATCATATGGTATATGATTCTATTGTATTGTATAAAATGAGGGAGAAAGGAAGATAATAAGTAAGAGCTACTCGTACATATCTAAATTGTTACTCAAGGACTTATTACTTACGAAATTATTCTGTTATTGTCTATTTTGGCTGTGTACATCAAAACATTTCTTTGAATTAACTAACTCTTATTCTTCTAATCTCCGTTTTTAATCTTCTATTAAATAATATAACACTCAAAACTACATATAGATTCATTGAGTGACGTAAGTGAGTACTAAGAAGATATTTCAAAATCCAACCCCTAAGGGAGTGAAATTAAGAATGAAAGGTTGCATAAAGCTTTGTTAAAATCTGTTATAGGAGTATGATTTTTTTTTATGAAATTCCTTAGGTAACGTAGCTGAGCGCTAAGAAGCAATTTTTTGAAATTGGACCACTAAGGTTGGGAAATAAGTGGCAAAATAAAAAAAATAAAATTTTTCCTAGGAATCTGAATTTGGCACACGAGTCCCTGAAATTATGCAATTGACCAGTAAGAAACAATGTTTGGAAATACAGCCATAGGAAAACTAGGGATGAGAATGTAAGGGGTTGAATTGAAGGGTAATTGTTGATGCATGAAAAAAAAATCCTAGGAGTATAAAATAACCCTAAGTAACGAAAGTGACTTACCCATATATATACATATATATATGGGTAAGCTAACATAGCTTAATACCCATAAAGGATTTTTTTTTCGAGAAATGAGTATCTTGTCTATTAATAAAATTGTAGCCAGTTTATGTTGTAAGTGACTCAGAAGCAATTTTTGAAATTTCATATTCTATGAAGGTGACATTAAGTGACGAAAGTGTGTACGAAGTAGGAAATTCATCCCTTAAGTGATTTAAATTAGGGGTAAAAGTTTAAAGTAAGTTAAGGGGTAACAACTTTTTTTTAATTGGTTGCGAGTATGAAAGTTTGTGCAATGAATCCATACTGACAAAAGCGATTTTTGGAAACTCATCCCCTAAGGAGATGTTTTTTGTTGGTTAAGCAAGTTGTTTACAAATAAATTCTTGCTGAGATGCTGGATTCCGTTTGATCTAATCCAGTGGAGTTCTATAAAAAATATCTATTTGATTTTTGGATTTCTGCTTTACTGACTAGTGACGAAATACTCAGCTTTATCTCACCGCAACGTTATAGATATTATTTATTACTTACATGTTTGGTGTCGCCAACGACAATAGAAGAACAGTGGTTAATCATCTTTATGGATTGATTAAGGATAAAGTACTGCTGATGCAGCCGCCGCCCGGCCCCCTTCTCAAATTTTTGAATTTTTTGGTTGTTATAGGCATTTTGGTCACCCTACAGTAAATGAAGAAGAAGGCTGTGAGAAAATGAAAGAGCATACAAGGAAGGAGGTGCAGATAGACCAGTCAATGGTTTATCAGATTACAGGAGCTTGGAATCGTTTCTTCATAATTAATTTTATCAAAAAGAATAAACGTTGGCCCCTCTGTAAAACAAATCTGGGAAAGGGACATTTATTTAAGCAAGATGATTAATGAAAACATTATACATTTTGATGAATATATGAACAACCTTACGTTAGAAGATTGGGGTAGTATAGAATATGATCAAGAATTTGAGTTCGATTTCTTTCCAGACTTCTTAGAATTATTATCTGATAAATCATTATCACCATATTTGCTTAATTAGTCACGAGTGTACAGTCAAGATCTAATCAACTTAAAGAATACTGGGATAATGAAAGAATCACGAAGGGTTTTGATGGAAATCTTGAGTAGAAAAGATATAGATATCCAACTAATATATAAGACCATCCAAGGGAGGAAAGTTTCTGATTATTGGAAAGTAGTAGGCCTCCATTCAAAGGAACGAGAACTAAAGATCAACTCTAGATTATTTGCCATGATGGTACTAATGGGGTTGTATGTACTAAATGAGGTTGTATTTTTGTGCCACTGAAGCAAATATAGCTAGGACAATATTTAAACATATGCCCTGTCAGACAATGAGTTGGTCTGAGGCTGAATTATTAAGACATATCCACCATGTAACACAAATCAGTGATAGTCAAGATTTTATCCCTATTACCTTATCACTAGATTTTGTGAAATGGAACAATAGATGGAGACACGATGCAGTAGCTCCTGTTTTTAAGAACATAGATGATTTACTAGGAAAAAAGAATCTTTACACTTATAGTCACGAATTTTTTAAATCATCTTATTTTTATCTTATATTAGCAAAAAATGGTAGATCCAAAATCATCATTTCGAGAGAGTAAAACTACATGGATTGGTCAAGAAGGAGGTTGCGAAGGGCTAAGACAAAAAGGATGGACGACAGTAACTAGTGGAAGCCTTCTTGCACCTGAAGCTATATTAGGAGTTAAAGGTATTATTACTGGGTAAGGTGATAATCAGGTGATAGTAGCATTTTTCCCTGTTCCGGAAGAATTGATAAGTATGGCGATTCAACTAATTACCTTAAACAAGGCCGTCGCCCCACGGTGGAGTATTAGCATGAAAAAGGTGATCGAAATTCGAAAAAGCAAATGTGTTTAAGA